CCAACACCACTTTGTAACAGTTTATACAGCTGACCCTTGTGCAAATTGATTCAATGGCTTTTTTCAAGTCAACAAAGCAGGAGAATAATTTGCTTTTGTTTCAGTTTATGTGATTGTCAATTAGAGTGCTGAGGGTAAAGATAAGGTCTGTTATAATAAATAATTTGTATTCCATGGTTTGTGGTATCTTAATCCGGTGGTTTAGGCCTTGACCATGATTGCATGTAGCTCGCTGAGCATCTGGTTTATGCTCAGGTCGCAGGGTGGGGCTCCGCCAGGGTTGGGGCTTACTCTGCTCACAGCCTGTGCATATGTGTTGTATGGGGTTGGCTGGAGGGCGGTGGGCCTGGGCGCTCAGCAGGGTGTAGCATCAGGGTGTCCTCTGATAGTATCAGCAGAGTGTCTTCTGGGTATTGCAGCAGAGTGTCTTCTGGGTATCGCAGCAGAGTGTCTTCTTGGTGTAACAGCAGGGTGCCTTCTGGTTGCAGGCCCTCTAGATGTTGGTCTAGGTGGGGTGCTAGTCTATCTGTAGCTCTAGAGGATGTGCTCAATCTTCAGGAGAGTGCGACGTCCTTTAGGGTCTATGCAAACATTGGGACTGTTGCCTTGAGGATGTGCACTTGGTGTTACAGGCTGTGCTGTGCTGGTCCAGGGTGGGGTGGGGCGCCAAGTAAACATTTGGCTTCATTGCACATTCTCTGGAGATTTGTGCATTTACCCTTCGGATGAGAGCAGGGTGGGAGTCCTATCTGGGGAGCAGGGTAGAGATAACTATCTTTGTGTTGGGGAATGTGGAGGAGGCTTTGTCTATCACTCCCTTAAAAGTTTTTTCTGCTATCTCTCTCTCACACATTCACACACAAACAGTGTGATTAGACATGTGTTAACTCAGTCTGGGTAAGAAATGCCTTCGTAAACTTCTAAATGTATGTAGAGCTGGAGGAGACGGTGGTGTGCTTGGTCTGGTTTGGCACAGTAGGCAAAACACAGAGAGAAGGCGTAAATAACTGACAAAGCCACTAAGTTTTCACGGTCCAAACATGTATGAAAAGACTCCAAATTAACACAGTAAGTGGGCTTAGTGGAGCCGTGCAGGGCTCCAGGTGTCTGCCCCGGACTTGGTGGTGTTGCAGCCGGGCTGTGCGCCTTCTCCCAGCTGAGGAGCTGTCCCGTTGCCAGGGATAGTTTATGTTTGTTTATCAGAATCAGAATCAGAATCCYTTATTGTCATTGTTTAACATTGTCACCAACATTCAACATTGAAAATTCTTTTTGCAGCTCTTCTTGTTCCAGCAGCGATCGAAAGATTTTAGAAATCAGACATAATCAAGAAGTAAAGAAGTTAAAAAAATTCAAATGTACAGTATTTTTTTTATTATTATTTTTATTTATTGCGTTATCGCAAATCATAGTCACTGTGATATTACACATCATCACATTTTGCATGTTTCATTCATTTCTTGCATTTCATGACAATGCTCTGTGGCATTTTCTGGATTATAATGCAATATGTATAATGTGTTTTTTAAAGCTCTAAACATATTTATACTAAAGGATAACTAACTTATCAAGACTTTGTCATTGACAATGTACATGTAAGTGAAGACATTCCCCCCTATCATGTCATAGAAACAAGTTTATTCTGAGTGACAACTTTGTATACAATTTAGTGATGGTGGTAAGATGGTGTAGATCTTTAGAACATCAAGCAGTCCCTCTGATATCTTGTGTTGTCCTTACAGAGCCACCAATCAGTGTGCATGTTGGTCAAGCTCGGCAGGAACTGCTTTGAAATTTAATTGAAAAACTACTGGAGGGATTCCCATGAAGTTAGGAGCACACATTTGTCTCCTCAGAATAAATTGTAATATCTTTGGTGGTCCCTTATTACCTCAGTGCCCTTTTATGTCAAATTGTCTTTTTTCTCAGTACATGTTCAAATGATAATATGAAAATATTGTAAAACTCCATTAAGCCGCAGATTCAGGATATATTACTCTGAGGGTTCATTCTTAAGAGCAACCGCTTTCACCTCGTCATGTGATACATTGTATGGTTAACCTTTTTAACTTTGAAGTCTGTACAACCTTTGACCACGCTATATAGTATATTGCAGTTCGATCTGGCATTAGTAAGCTACCACATGATGTCACTGCTGTGCAGGTTGTTGATAAAGCTAATTGTTGCTGCTAATTGCCAAGGGTAAACCAGATTTTTCAAGTGCAAGCACTGAAATCTGGGGTTTGCGCCAAACAGTTTGAATGACACGCCCTCCGATTAAGTAATTAGGGACAAAATAATTTGAATATTACGTAATTAAAATATGCATATAATCAATATGTAACAATCTGTACTCAATCTGCATAAATTATATTTTTCATAATGACAACATATATCTTGTTAATTCATCAAATTACATTTTCCCATAAATTACATACATTCCAACACAAAAGGTTTCGTAACGGCATCAGTTCTCCTCAATAGGCCATATAAACTGTATATTATTTTAATAGGCCCAGTGTACCATTATATTTCCACAGTAGCAGCAACAGGTGTCTGATGTGTTAACGTTACCAGGGTAACACATGGAGGAAGTTATGTCAACGTGTGTGACGTTGCAGGGCGTTCACAATGGAGGAATCTTTTGAAGGGGATGTTCCCTGAACCGACATTCCCTGAAATAATCACATGGTGATAATAAGCATGCTTTCTTGCTACGTGAAGTGAGCGTGCTGTGCAGATTGTGGTTTCACTGAAACACTCACAGTTGTTGACCTTTAGGAGGTTAGTTGAGATGGTGCTGCTGTGGACCTCTATCTATATAGTGACCTCTGTATAATGCAATACAGTTCCAAAACGCAAGAGTAAAACAATGTCAGTATGAACTTAGATTATTGTCGTAACACAATATAAACTCCCTGAAGGTAAAATGTATCGCAGGACCTTTGTATTGGACTGCATTCATTTTAGCTTTGTGTAACTACACATCTGCCAAATTAATGTATATTATGAAAAAACAAGTATTGAAAATTATAGTGCAACACTTTCAGATTTGTGTTCTCATCTTCCATTAATATTCATTTTATTTTCTCCTTTTTTTCTCTGTTTTTAGTCACACTTTGCTCAGACCATTGTTTTTATAGCTGAACCCGCAGCATCCCACTGTATAGCTGCCTGACATGAAGCAAGATCAGCTGAAATAACACGGGACTGCAGGCTGTGGCAACATGTTACTGGATGGCACTGTGGACGTGTTAGCAATTACCAGACCCTGCTCCATTTTCCACTGTACCGGTCTGAGCTGCAATGAGCTGTGGAGATGATTCAACTGCTTTACGTGCAGGACAGACCAATGTGAAGAAACCGATCGAGCATTGTGTAACAGATCGTTTCTCTTAACAATGCACTGCACAAACAAGTATTTATCTTGTGTGACATCATCTGGTTCTAAACAATGGGCAAACTCAGAGTTTAATTACCTCGCATGCTGTTCACTTTTCTTTACTTTAAAGACTTAACTAAATTCATGTATAATGTAACACGCTGGGTTTTGTCTTTAAATCAAATAGTTGCTCTTTTGTCTTGGGGATTGCTGGAACGTTGGCTAACCCCATTTAGCATCTGATTGTCTCTCGCCACAAGATATTTGCATTTATAGACGTCGCCTCTTTGAATTCCTGCCATAGCGCTGCTACTTGGAAATCTCTTTAGCCCTGCGTTGCCATGGCAATTCAGCTCCACTGAGCTGGTGAAGGGTAGCCTATATATACTTTGTGTGTGTTTGTGTGCGTCTGTGTGTGTGTCTTTTCAGTCGTGCCAAACCAATGAGAATAACTGAGGAGATCTCACTTCGTAGACGGTCATTTGTGGGTATCTTACAGGTGACTCATGATGGTGGATTATTGGAGACCCTGAGACCTCTTACAGCCCTACAGCAGTGGGGAGGGTGCATTAGTCTCTCAGCATTAAAGCCTCTCGAGCTGGTAGGTGTTGATAAAATGCAGGCTGGGGCCAATAAAAGGGAGAAAAATTGCACCAACGTTTGCAACTTCCCTCCATATTTGGATGGAGCACTGTAAATTATGCACGTGATATCCTAGAAAAGTTTAATCAAGAACAATTTGGTGGTAGATACTTGCAGGACTACTAATCGTGCTGCTCTATATGCAAATAAACACATCATTTCCATTTGCAAAGACCAATTGCATTGCTGTTTTTAACCAGTGGAGTCAGGAATTCACTCACTGTGCCTA